CTGTTGATGAAAATAGAGTTCATGCATGTGGTAGAAAACACCCCACTGCTAAGCTTTATCATGTAGATTCCTCTCTCTTGGCTGATGTCTGTATTATGACTAATTATTTCTGTTTGTGAATGGTGATTTGGTGCTGCAGTCTGCTCCTACAAGGCTGCCTCCTTCTTCCCTTTGTCCCGCCTCGTCCTCTTTCTCAATGAGTGAATGTGTGCGGCTGCTGTCGGCTCACATGGCTCACAGAGGCAGCGTCAGGGCGCCCTATTCGTTCAGCAAACACGCCAATGTCCTCCGGAGTGGGGGGTCCTGCAGCGAGGAGCCACCGAGGAGCCTCCCAAATGCTCAGCAGCCCAATAACGGAGCAGAATTTGGCTCGGAGGACGTCAAGCAAACATGCAGCAAATGGCACTTTTATTTACTTGCCTTCACATCCCCTCCCCCAGCAACCTTCATTTACTGGGATCCGCAGGGCCATTTCCAGCGGCCCCATGGCAACAGCAGGCCTTGTCAACAGGGGTACAACTTTCTCATGATGTCACCAAGCCATGGCGATTGGCTGTCTGTAGAAAGTTGATGAAGCTCTCTTTGAGATATCAGGATCCCAAAGTGAACTGTGGAAGGAAGTGTGGATGGCAGTACCAACCTTGAACTGGTTGGAACAATCAGGTTTAATACATGCAACATTGTGGACAGACCAATACAGAAATGTCCACGAATCTCAATAACAAAAGCTCATCCTGTCACTACACCTTTCTTGACTTGATCTTAGCAGTGAATGAGTGTGTTGTTGTGTGCTCTATACAACCTGTCATTCATCAACACTTGCTTCTTGTCTGATTGTGATAATGCAATCTGCACGGGCCTCATTGCTCTCAGGCCTGTCAGACGTGCAGTCAGAAAGGCAGATCTGCTGTTTGCACAGTCCAATGAGCATCCAGTGGCTTTGCCTTGTTGGGGGACTCCTCCTTGGCAACTGGACCAACCCCCTCTGAACTCTGACCTGAGTGGTGGCCTTTAGATGAGGGGAAGAGAAAAATGGTTCCTGTCTAAATTCAGCCATTAGAATCTGGAGTAGATGGGGGCCGTGCCCTCTAGCCTCCAAAGGAAACACACATCTTCGGGCATTGAGGGGTGACAAAGATCATCAGCCGACGGCGGGACAAGTGCAGAGCGTGATAGATTGTGTAATTGAACATGTGACATTTGATGGATGTCTAAATGAGGAGCATAATAGGTTGTGTGACGGATAGGTAGGAAGTGAACGCTTACATTTTCACACAGGAGCGGAAGTTTGCTTTTAGGACAGAGAATGATGGATTGATTCTGGAAGGGGGAGGACCGAGCAAAAGAGGGACTAGACTTTTTCTGCTTAATTTGCAAACATTATCTTTTTTTTTTTGTCAATTAGACAGCATCTGAGAAAAACACAACTTAAATCAAACTTCCACCAACCTGCCAAATATGCCCGAGTAAACAAACCTGTATTAACGTCAGGAAATATGTGAGCAAAAAAAAAGAAAAAGAGGCGTAGTTGGGTCTACCAGAAAAAATTGCTCACGTTACTTGATTTAACTATTAAATCTGTGAAAATGTACTTACATTTAAAAAAAAAAAATACTGAATAAGTATAAAATAGATTTGAAAATTATGAATAGAGTGAACATCAAATAAGCACAGCAGCATTTTTTTTTTAAAAAGTGGGTCAACTTTGCAAAAAAAAAAACATAAATAAAAGGTGTAAAGTCACTGAAGATCTAACCCCACAACAAAACTGCCTAACGCAGGACAGAAACAGATATCAGAAGAGCTCAGTGTCTCAGTGTCAAACACATTGTATTTCTCACTGGCCTTCAGAAATGAAACTATGGCACTTTTCTTGAACATGTTTCGTACTGTTTCTTTAAAGACTCTTGACAATAAAGACAACATGATGCAACGTCAGTCCGCTCTGTCAGTGAGATGAAGATAGTTTTGGATTTAAGAGCCTAAACAGCAGCACTGACATCTGAAACCCTTTTTGTCTCTTCTTAACTGCAAGTGGAATTTTTAATTTTGCATGCGATTTTTTTTTTGCATAAATTAAGTCACTTGTCTGCATACATCCTTTAAAAAAAGATACTCTGGAGACTATTAATTCTGTGTTACATGTCAGACGGGGGCAGAGGGATTTCATTAAAATCATTACTGGTTGTAAAACAGTGTGCTGAGTGCTGAGCTACGGCAACAGTTATCAAGTAGACAAGTGTTGCCAACAGCTGAATGGTCAGCTGGGAAAAGAATGGCTGAGGCAAGGGAAAGTAGAGCTGCAGTGGGTCACGCACGCACATGTGGGCATGCAAGTAGCTGCTTCACATAGTAGCTCAGCACAGGTGGCAGCCAGGGACCCTAAATCAGAAGTGAGGAACCTGTTATGTTGTTAGCGGCCTGCTTGTGCTGCAGAAGGTTAAAGGCCAACATAACTGATTAACAGCATTCAGCTAAAAATAAACTGATTTGATTCTAAGCCTGTGAGAATAAATCATAGGCAACGAGGAGACAGAATGAGACCACAAACATGACAAATCAGCTAAACATAAAGAATATTTATGTAGCTCCCTCAAAATGTGTTTAAATTCCCTGCTCCACTTCTTCTTTTTCAATCTCATTCTAAAGCATCTTCTTCTCTAACGGTACACAGGTGGCACCGCAGTCACGTCAACTTTCCCCAGTTGCAGGCTGAAGACACAAATGCTCATTGGTATGACATAATTTGGAGAGGATTAGCACCGCTCCACTGTGGAATGCATAACATGTCTAAATGGAGAAATCAAGAGAGAAAGTGGCCAGGAGGGAACAGGAGCCTAACAGTGTGACGGCAGGGAAATTCTGCTTCACCTTGCTAAAAAATGTGAAGCTGGCTGAAAGACTTGGATTTTTCCAGTCTTCACACCTACTTCTGTCAGTCCTGCGAGGCATAAATGTTGATGTAACATTACACTTTTCATATGCATCAAAACTACTACATGTGCATTGCTTTGACAGATGGTGGTGGATAATTTTGGCAATTGGTATAGCTGCTTTGTAAGTTTTTGATGTGTTTTTGTTTGGTTCATCTTTCAGGCATCTGACTGATAAATGACTAGGAATGCTCAACAAAATATCACCTTTCCAGTTGACTGGATCTTTAAGTTCATACCTACTATGTGTCCATCCATCCATCCATTATCTATACACCGCTTAATCCTCACTAGGGTCGTGGGGGGCTGGAGTCTATCCCAGCTGACTTAGGGCGAAGGCAGGGGACACCTTGGACAGGTCACCAGTCTATCACAGGGCTACACTTAGAGACAGACAACCAAGCACACTCACATTCACACCCACAGACAATCTAGAATCACCAATTAACCTCAACGTGTTTTTGGAATGTGTGAGAGGAAGCTGGAGAACCCGGAGAGAACCCACGCTCCACGCTGTATATGTATATACAATATTTATCACTAAAATCACATCAGCCCACACTTGCAGCCCCTTGCTATGTGTTTGCAAGTTTTAGCTAATAAGCTGCAAATCATGCACATCTGGTGACCTCTCACAAACAATACAGCTCCAGGATTTCTTATTTTTCTGCTCGTCCAGTTTGTTTCCATTCATTTATATGCAATATAAAGGTCATTTAGTATTCTCTTATTTTTTTTTATTTTTTTTAGCAGTTTCACACGATCACTGTATGAAAATAACATTAAGTAAGACTCATTTGAAAAAAGTCTTTGGTGTGTTACATTGCAAAAATATTGTGTTTGACAGAAATGACTGCTAACTTGTTGTCTTCTGGGTTAAGTAATGCAGATGTGTGCTGACTGATTGGTTTGCAAATGGTTAGGTATGAGGCAAATTAGCAGTTTTTGATGTAAGACAGACTAAAACATTCAAGCAATTTATGAAAAGTAATTTCATAAATACATTTCATAAATGTGTGTTTGAATGGGTGAATGGGAAACATTGTAAAGTGCTCTGAGTACCACTAAGGTAGAAAAACACTATACGAGTCCATTTGCCATTTAAAACACAGACTACAATCTTGATCTGTGAAAAAAGCTTTTTGTCTTCCCAGTAAGGTACATAGTGAAGCTCTTGTTTCATTGCACTCCCTCAGTTAGATACCGCCCCCTGCAGGAGGAAAGTGTCTCACAGCAGCAGCTTGTTGTGTTGTGCAACAACTGGACACTGAATCCTTAGACAGTGACAGTGTCGAGGCACATTCCTCCACTTATCAGCATTAGGTCTGCACCCATGTACTGGGCTATGTACAGTATTAACCCACAAACCAAAGCCATAATAACAGTGCAGTGAGAGCACAGAAAAGCAGGCTTTATGTTTAAGGTCTCTCTCCAATCCCAGAGAGACCGCTCATATTTCCAGCTGTGGTGAAATGTAGATTTATGCTGTAGTCATAACAAAGCCTGAACAAGACTGACACTGCACAATAAAATGGCTGGACAATCATTTGTTCTGCAGACATGCTGTCCGCGTGCTGACAGACGACTTGAATCTGTCTAATGTAACAGTGCGCAACATGTATCGACGCAACACGGCATAAATCTAAGCGTGTGCGCAGCTGTACCTAGCTACACACACGAGCAAATATTCTAAGAGGAGAATGCTTGTGCCCTGCTGATGCAGAAAACTGACAAGTTACTGAGAGTCCCAAAGACAACAGCGACCCCACAAAGAAAGGAAACCATACTCTGCTTTCTGCTGAGATTGATTTGGCCGAGTATGTACTTAAAAAGTCATCAGTGTATCCACAAGGGCTGGATTTTCACTGAGTGTCGGAGGATATTTCATACCAAATTTAGAAAGAAAACAAGGTCCAACAGATCAAGTTGAGTTCATGACGCCTGGGAAGAAATCCAGTAATAAAATAACAGTTGTTTGCCTGTGTGGGATCTGTGGGCTTGTTTACAATGGGCCTGTGAACGCTGGCGACCTCTAACATGTTTTACTGATCACACCATTGCACCATGTTTTCAGAATTCACTTTGAAGATTTATTAAGAAGATGCAAAACAAATCATGTCTGATTTTCCTTTTTTTTTAAAATCCATCCACACAGTGGATCCAGACAAAATTCAATACAATTCAATTTTAGAAACTCCTGAATGGACAAAACAAGACTCGTATACACATGCTGTACAGGTTTTTCTCGGTGGATAGAATATGGATAGTGTGGTACATTTACAGATCAGCGATGGGTTTGTGTGGCCAATATGGATACTTCTCTTTGTCCAGTTTGGTTTCTGGGAAAGTCTCGTTCAGGTCTTCGATGGTCATCTGGTCAAAGGGAATCATGTTTCTGAATTTTTCCAGCTGGGGGAAAAAAAAGGGGGTAGTTATTATAAGGTAGAGAGAGTGATACTAATCCAATACACTTTTTTTTGTCAAATTCAGTAAACACTTCCTCTGAATAAAGTGCTGCTAAACAGTCCTGACTCCGTAAACGGGAAGCAAACAAAGGTGGCTCAGACAAATCAACACATCACTATTCCTGTGCACGTTGAGGACAGAAGGAAAAGGAGACGGAGATGTTGACATGAGAGGGATGGTAAATCTGGCACGTGCTACCTAAATATGCTCACTGGCTAAATATCAACATATATTTATGACAATATTGTTTTCAGAATCATACACTCCATCTTCAAAATGTGTATTTTTCTAAGTGATTATGGAAAGAGTTAGCAAAAGAATGAAGATGATGATGGTGTTAGAGGGAATATTTAGTGTGGGGTACGGACAAAATGCACATCTGTGAATTATTATTATTATTATTATTATTATCACAAAAATATAAGTAATCGGGCTGTATATATGTAAAGATAAAGCTGCTTTACATTTACAGCATGAAGTGAGAAAAAGAGTGTTTCAGGATGTACTATTTGCCGTTTCTTTCTCCATTGTAATACCTGCTGTGGTGTTACTTTCTGGTGCAACTTTCTGAAGTGTCGGTCGTTTAAGAAAAAACACAAATACTATGTCTCACCTCTTTTTCATACTGGGTTATACGAGCCTTGGATGCTTCAATATAGGCAGTGGCTGTTTTGTTCTGGAAGACATTAAAAGAAGTGTTGACATATTACAAAAACCAATGGCTAATACGGCAAAAATAAACAATAATTCCAACAAAATGAAAGATAAAAGCACCAAGCATATTCTAGATAGTACTTTCATTTAAATTGCTCAGATGTCACACAGAGTTAAAACGTTATGATTTATCTCTTTTTATTCATCTCTGTGATTGCTAGTGTGTCTCTTAAACTGTCTCTCTTTTGTATTTAGCAAAAAAGAAGAACGTCATGTAGCAAAATGAGGTTTTTATCCATTCAGTGTTTTTGTTGGGAATGGGACACATAGAAACATACCATATATCCACCATTTAAACACAGACCCACTCACCGATTCTGCCTCCTGAGTGTTGATAAGTGACGTCTGAGTGTCTACAGGCTCAGGGACCGTCAGGGTGCTGAACTGCGGAGACACAGTTAACAGTCCATATGATTAAAAAAACAAGCTACTCAACATGCTGTCATTACAGTTTCAAAACCACTGGAAAAACTAAAGAAAATTTAAAATATCACTGCTTTCAGTCCTCAGTACCACCTAGAAGCAAGATGAACAGGTAATTTATGTACCTTCTTTTCAAACTCATCCACCATTCCTGCTTTAGCCACAGCAGATCTGTAGTAGGCCCAGTCAATGGCAGCAGGCTTCTCAGGCAGACCGGTGAGTCTGTGAACACAGATTAAAAACCTTAGTTCTCTGTTGAAAGTGGTCTGATCCAACTCTTGGCTATAAGCTGCTGCATTAGCTTTACTCGTGAGAGGTGGGGACACGTTGCAGGTCCATTACTGGGCTAACAGAGACACACAGGCAAATATTCACACTCACATTTACATGCACAGTCAATTTAGAATAATTAATCTAACATGCCTGTCTCTGGACTGAGGAAGGAAGAGAGCAGACCTGAATGACAAAGTGGCCCTAAATCAACACAGACTTAACTAACATCACAGCTGTAGTGCTGAAGTGTGTGAGCACTCCAAAGGTTATAAACAGGAGGAATGGATATAGTGTTATGACAGCGCATTGCTTGGAAACGATGCATTGCCATTAAAAAACAAAACTGAATTTGGACTTATGTTTCATTCTCAGTTTGATTAGCTGCTCAACTGATCCCTCCCTGCTTGTGACATTAAAGTGTTTAGACATTTTAGCAAATTACTAAAAATCAGCAAATCCATGAAGACCTGTAAGTGAACCACAACATAGACCAGCCAGGTGCTCTCACTTACTGATAAACTTGCTAGCGGATTGGGGGGCAGGACAACCACGGGTATCCATCACCAACTACTCTAAGAACTATGAGCAAGTCACTCCGTACACTGTGCAGACATGTGTAGTACATAATTACATTGAAAAGTCTGTAACAGAGTCCTCATGCATTTGATGATTAACAGTGGCACAGTTCCAAAGCCCTGATGCAGGACCACATCTCAAAGTCCAGTCTCGGAGTCTTCTGCCAGTAAAAACATGCAAACTGCTGTAAGAACAACAGTGCAACCATGCCACCCTTGGTCATTACTCTACTGTAAATTTTAAATGACTCACTCTTTTATTACGTGTACCCACTTACAACATGCAGACTCATTCAGGCTTCCATCCTAGCACACCACTCATAGAGACAAGGAGTTTAAACACAGGAGCTTCTTGCTTTGAGATGATCATCACTACTTCACCGCCACCACCTGCACCACAATGCCTCAAGAGTGTGCCATGGAATTCCTGAGGATATGTCTGCTCACTGTGTGTGTAAGAACATACACTGCTCGAAAAAAAAACAATGAAACACTTCATTCCTAGACCATTTTGTTCTTAATAAGTTACACAGTGTACATCAATGATTGGGCAGTGGAAAACAAAATGATTAACCCACTGAGGGGGGGATTCACAATCACTTAAGCTTCCTAACTAGATTGAGATCCCAGAAGTTTAGCTGAATTAATGTTATACTGTGATGACTAAGCGTTCCCTTATGTTTTTCAGCAGCATATATACATGTACCACAACATTAAAACCAGCTCCAGTACATCGTGCAGATGCTTCGACTGGCGTGGGACCGAAGGAGTTTGGGTCAAAACCTTGGGCTCTTTGTCGTGCCATTTTTACAGTGTTACAGAGCGCAGAGAGAGGATTGGGAATTTTACAGGTGGGAATGCACAGCTATATCAATGTGTCCTTGATTAAATCTTTACTGCACCAGTGCTATAAAACAGTGGTTCTCAAACTTTTTGAGCCACGACCCCCAAGATAACATAAGTTTGTGTTTGTGAGCCCCCCAATTTGAATTTTTGATATATCATGAGTAATAACTGTGTTGTTCATGCATTAAAAATGAATTTGTTTATTCCACAGATTAATCTCTTTACATTAACACATTAATTTTCTTTTGAATGAATGAATGAACTGAATTTATTTCAAACAAATTAAAGAAAAACAAAAGAAAATGACTGGAAAAACAGCATTTAAAGAGAGTCAAAAACAATAACACCACATAACCAAATCAGAATATTAACAAGTTCAAAAAGGGAGTAGTAAGAAGTGTATACTTTTCATTTTGACAGCCCTAATACAAATTTGTTTGATAAATGTAGGCTTTATTATTATTATTTTATTTTTAAATATCTACCGACCCCCTGGAAATATCATGGGACCCCCAGCTTGAGAACCACTGCTATAAAAGATGCAGCTAGAATGTACAAACAGCAATGAACGCAGGATTGTCGAATATGTATATACAATACTTATCACTAAAATCACATCATATGTCACTCTTTACTTCTGGAGCACTCTTTAGTGTGCCACAACTCTTCTGTACTTCACTGGACGCCTGTTAAATAAATGATTAAACATGTATGGCATCTGTACTTTCATGTCACATTCTGCCACATCGTAAATTGAGTGTTACGTAAATATATACTGTAAGCTATCACGATCATGGTTCTTTTCTTCAGACAGAGATCACTAAAAAACACCAGACGGGCGATTAAGCTGTGCCACACATCATTGTTAATATCATGTCTTTAAAAGCACAACTCTAAGATGAGGATGTCTCATTTAGTTAAACCCCTGTTGTCTTGACTCCTCTCTCCTCGTGCCTTTTTCTCGCCACCTCCACTCACATTTCAGGTGAGAGGGACCAAGACGCAAGGAGAGGTGTTGAGGGAAGGAATCGAGGAAGTACAAAATAAGATGAGGAGGGTGTACACTTAATTCAAGAGAATCTTTCGAGCATGTGGGAATACAAACTTTGCAGAAATGGCATCACTCCTTGTCTTCAGGTTGTTGAACATGGTCCTCTGGTTGGGGGGGACCCTCTCTGCAAAAGCCAACCAGTCAATGGTCTTCAGAGCAGCTCGTCTCCCAGCCATGCTTCAGGATGGGCTCACTGCAGGGACAACAGGAAAAGCCCAGACTGAGTTTACTAGGGAAAATGAAACAACGTTGATCCATCTTTTCTGACAAGTGTTGCTCTTTATGCTCTTGAGACTGAACTTTCTGTGCACAAACAGCCAGGTACTTTACTGTCCTCTGTATCCTGCCCCTCACTGTTATTAATCATCATTTAGATTAGCTAGCTTACATGGCTAACATTAGCAAGGCACAAACACCGAGAACGAACTGAAAATTAAACAGAAGTTTCAAATTTACAGCCATTTTCTAACATGTTGTTGTTTCCTGTATCTTCTGAGATAATTTTAAACAGTTGAATATTTGTGCAACGTACCGTCAGTCTGTGACAACACACAAACTCCAGTATAGCGACGACAGGAAGCGGAACGGATGTAAACAGCACAAGAGGCAGTGTGGGGACAAGGCTGCCATCTGCTGGTGGGGGTTTACACACACAAACCACGATTTATCAGCTAAAACCCTACATTTGTCATCTATAAACGACCACTCAAGACCACTTATCTCCGTTTATGTTACAAGCGGAAGTTATATTATTCACAGGTAGGTGTCCAGCAACCTGATTGGTTGATCCAAGTGAGTGGATCCAATCAGGAGACAGTTTCAAACAGACAGGTGGATGCTGATATAGGATTCAGGAGTCAAGGATTCAAGGTCTTTATTTGTCACAAACACAGTCATACATGGTATAACGCGCAGTGAAATGCTTTACTACTAGCATATGGAGACACTCCCAGTGTTATTAATGCTGTGCAGATAGAAGGGTTAGCAATGACATTGTCTTAGTTTGGCTCTTTATTATCTCAGTTAATCTCTTAAGTGTTGTGACATTTGATCATAAACCAAAGTAGTGGACAAATGTTGACCTGATGGAGGTGTTAGAGGACAGCTCAGTGAAAACATGAATCCCTGAACCAGATTTAATGAAAATACTTTTTATAGTTGTAGAATAGTAGTAGAATAGCAGAACTTATTTCCAACTGGGCAGAACAGAGAGGAATGAACTAGAACCAAGGAAACAGCAGACCAGAGTAAAATGCTACAATAGAACCACAGAAAAAGGCTAGAACAAGCTAAAGCAGAGAAGAAGAGACTAATAGGACAAGTACCACAGACAAGGATAGTACAGAATAAAAACAAAACATGAACAGAAAAAGTGCAAAATAAGTGCATACGTGCAAAACAGTGAAACTCCTTAGGAGGAGTCATATGTGTCTTGGTGGCCTCCATCACTAGTCTCTTTTTTTGCACAGTCACTAGTCTCTTTTTTTGCACAGTCACTAGTCTCTTTTTTTGCACAGTCACCCAGGTTCTGAGGATGGCCCGCTCCAGGCAGAATCACACATGTGCACTAGCAATTCTATTTCTTCTTTTTCTTTTTCTATGATGGGTTTGATTGTTCTCCAAGGGATGTTTAGTGGCTTGGAAATTTTCTTGTATCCATCCACTGAGTTATGACTTCCAACACCTTTTTCACAGTTGCTTGAAGTGTTCTTTTGTTTTGTGTAATTATATCGAGGAGTACTGATTCACCAATGGCTGGACCTTCCAGGTACAGGTGTTTTTATGCTATAGCCCTTCTTGTAGCTGTACCCAGTTTTACTTGTTCTACTTGGGGGCATTTTGTACTCTGTACTCTGAGGACGAGTGGAACTTAAAGATTACAAACAGTGTAACATATTAAACCAAGTCATTTGTTGGCAAGCCTCATTCATTTACTACCCATCCGCTTTCTGACTGTGTTAAGATACAGCTGAAATTTATTGACTGTGTGACATTTGAGACAATGTCGGCGCTAATTTCGTCCCGCGCTTTTTATCTCAGATGCGTGAATGGATTTAAACACAGCATGAAATGGAAGTCGTGCAGCACAAGTTTGCTCCAGTGGTGTCGGTAAGTTTTTACTTCTCTGATTTACAGATCAAGTAGCTTTTTTTTCTCCCACATTTTTATGACAGGTGTTTGTGGTCTTTTGCTTAAAAATGCACCAGTGTGAACACAACTTTTTTAAGCTGTTAATTACTGAGCATATTAAAAAGAAATTGCACTTTTATAACAGAAAAAAACGTTATATAAGACAAACAATGAGGAATTCTAGTTGGCAGTAAATATCTTTGCTTGGTCATTTCAGGCATTCATGCATTCTGTCTCTCAATAATATGAGCTCAGTTTTGTTCCATTTGATTGTTTGTCTTAGTGGTCGCGTCAGTGCATTGAAGCAATGAGTCTTTAAAATGATTATTTTTTCTTCCATTAGTCAGCTCATGCTTGGATTTTTCTTGGCTATTAAGACTGAGAGTAAGCCCGATCATTTTGGTATAGTGTATGTTTTTACTGTTTACTGATTAAACAGCCGCATTTATTCCATGTCATAGAAGAACTGTGAATAATCAGTTGGAATTCTCCTCAAAATCTTAAAAAAATGCAGTAAAGGAGAGTGCTTAAGATATTCACTGTATTTGACCCCTATTCATTTTTTTCAATCACTATTTTCTATGGCAGCTCCCTCCATGTGGACAGTCCTCCTTACAAACCCTCACTGACCACCAGCTATGTCCACGGCACCTCCTCCGTCTCACTGCTCCCCCTGACTGTAAGCCAATGCCTGGATGCCACAGCCCAACGCTGGCCCAACCGTGAAGCTGTGGTCTTTCTGCAGGACGGCATCCGGAAAACCTTTGCACAACTGCAGCACGATGTCTGTCTTAAATACTATTTTATGTTTTTATGCTATTGGCATGTATCCAGTTGATATTTTAGAGTTTGATTGTCTGTTAGTTACTTAGTTTCTATGCAGTGAAAATACGTCTATGTAGCTCTAATGCCAACATAAGAATGAGAAAGACAAAATAGGCTCATCCTCACCTCCCAATGACTTCTATGTGGAACATAAAACACTATTTGTAATTGACTTGTCTTGAATCAATAAATGAATTAAATCAATTCAACAAATCAATTCAAGTATTCATCAAAATGAATAATTGAATCAATTCACTCTACATTTGGTAAAGTATTGTCTATTTTTTGTGCAGGTTGACAAGGTGGCTTCTGGCCTCCTTGCTTTGGGCCTGAAGCCAGGTGATCGGCTTGGAGTTTGGGCACCGAACACATATGAGTGGATCCTTTTCCAGTTTGCTACAGCCAAGGCTGGAATTATACTGGTCAGTTTATAAGCTGTTTGTTTGGTAGCAGTTACTGTGCTGTCAGGTGTCAGTTAGAAGGACGAGTACCTTCTCCAGAGGAGCAGTTGTGTATCTTTTCTGTTCCCATAATTTCCATGCAAAGCATGATGTAATATGGCTATACATCCATAGTAAAAGACTACTGCATGCATTATGTTGTGTATATTGCAAATCCCTCCAATAAATTTGATCTTAAACTTGCAGGTGTCATTGAACCCAGCTTATGAAATGAAGGAAATAGAGTTTGCTCTTCAGAAGGTAAGGCATATGGGCATATAGCCTGTACTGGATCACATTATCCAAGCCTGAAAGATGCAAATGGAACAAAACAGATTTGTTGTCTGTAGGTGCAATGTAAAGCAGTGGTGTGCCCCAGCCACTTTCAAACCCACAAGTTTTGTGAGATGCTGAGGGAGATCTGCCCAGAGATCGACACGGCACCGTCAGGCGTGATCAAAAGCTCCAGGTCTGATGGCCAAATGTCAGACTGAATACATGTCCTTCCTTTATTGACATTAAATTCTTCAAAATTTCAAAATGTATAACTACTGCAGTTCTGAATGAAACATAGAGATTCTGTCTTGGGTCTGCCAGGGTGCCAGACCTGCGTATGGTAATTGTGACCGATAGCAGACAGCCAGGAATGCTCCATGTAGAGGACGTGATGCAAGCAGGGGAGGCTCGGCACCACAAAGAGCTGATGGATCTGCAGAGCAAACTGTCCTTCGATGATCCCATCAACATTCAGTTCACATCTGTAACCTTCACTGTTGCACCTTTCACAGCGACACACACATATTGCATTATCTTAGGCTAAACTTATGAGATCACATAGATCCACCAGTAATTTAGATCAAGTAATTTATTAGATTTTTTTGTGTGTGTGTGTGTGTGTTAGGGTACTACTGGGAGTCCAAAGGGAGCCACTCTTTCTCACCACAACATTGTAAATAATGCTTACTTCTTGGGTCGCCGAATGGGTTACGACTGGAGAGTAAGTCCATATTTGTCTTTTGATTTGAAGAAAACACAAACAGTGAATTATGAATAACCTTATTTTCAATATTCGCCGTCAGCCTCAGGTGCGAGTGTGTGCGCCTATACCCATGTACCACTGCTTTGGCTCTGTAATTGGGGGGTTGAGCATGGCAATTTATGGTGTCACACTGGTCTTCCCTTCTCCAAGCTTCAACAGCCTTGCCAATTTAGAGGCCATTCAGAGAGAGAGGTACGGTGCTCATCACTTCCAGTATGTTGACTCCAGCTTTAAATTAATATGCACTTTCACTGATTGCCATTCATGTATTTATTTCACTTAAAGGTGCAATTTTGTGTATGGCACTTCCACCATGTACATTGACATGCTCAGCCAACAGCATTTACACAAGTATGATTTGTCATCCCTTGAAGCTGGTAAGAGATTTGATGACACGATGAATATGTTGTGTCAGATTTGGCCATCATGTGATTCATCCTTTGCTGCTGTGTTTTAGGGCTCATAGGAGGTTCGCCGTGCCCTGCTGAGATTGTGAGAAAATTGAAAACAGACATGAATATCAAAGAGATAATGGTGAGAGGACACATTCCTGTACCTCCTCAAATAATGCCCGACTGACACTTTGAAGAGAAGTCTCATGTTTTAACAGATTGGCTATGGAGCCACTGAAAACAGCCCTGCGACATTTTTGGGATTCCCACTAGATAACGAGGAGCTGAAGATAAATACCTCAGGGTGCATCATGAATCACACTGAGGTATGCCCTCTTTTTCACACAAACCTTTATGCACACATCACCATAACACTCTACATACTGTATATCTATATATCTTAACAATAGGCCAAAGTGGTGAACCCTGACACTGGGGAGATTGTCCCTGTAGGGGCCTCAGGTGAGCTGATGATCAGAGGCAGTTGTGTGATGCTCGGGTACTGGGACGACCCTGAGAAAACCAAAGAGGCTATCTCCCCAGACCGCTGGTACAGGACTGGGTAAGATGGATTTTGAGGTATTGTGTACAGTGTACAGTGAATGTACAAGAGGAAATACAAAGGTGCACTAGTGCAGCAGGGGTCACAGTGTTCCTTGTGGGAAATGCTTTATTTACAATTTTCATCTGCACAGTGATATCGCCAGCCTGAACCATCTGGGTTACTGCAGCATTCAAGGACGCTTGAAGGACATGATCATCCGAGGCGGAGAGAACATCTACCCTGCTGAGATAGAGCAATTTCTCTGTAAGCATCCCAAAGTGCAGGAGGTGCAGGTGAGATTTAAAACCGCTGGAGGGTAGCAATTCTTCAGACTACCATTTTTGTTGTTGTTTTAAACAACATCAAATCAATGAAAACATATTCTAAATAAACATACTTCAGTAATCTGTGGTGGTATGGCTAAATTCTCCTTCTCTGCTTCCCAGGTGGTTGGAGTGAAAGATGAGAGGCTGGGCCAGCAGGTGTGTGCCTGCATCATACTGAAGGAGGGCCAAACCTCCAGTGCAGAAGAGATAAGAGCGTTCTGCAAAGACCAGGTTAGAGGAGATTATAGATAAAACAGCCAGGAGTCCAGAGAATATCTGTACAGTTTGTGCACTGATGTTTTGGGATTTTTTTTTTTGTCTAGATTTCTCGTTTCAAGATCCCACACTACATGGTATTTGTGGACAGCTTCCCTATGACTGGCTCTGGAAAGGTAGAAAATGTCTGCTTTCATGTTAACATACATACAAAGAAGTGTTGTGATTTATGCTTAATAAATACAGTATATGTATATGATTATTATGAACTGAAACTGATCTGTTTATCTAGATCAAGAAGATCGAATTAGCGGAGGCAATGGAGGAGAAATTAGGCCTTTAATCTTGTGGACCCTGACTGAGAGTGTTGAAAATGTTCCAAAACTACATACATGACCAACTGCAGGACTGTTATTTATTATCTTGGAGTTGTTTTTTTTAAAATTCTGGATGTATGAAAATCTTAATATTTCCATGACGTACATTTTTTTTTTGTTCGCTTGAAGAAGAAATCTGAATATTTACAGTTTAAACACTGTACAGTTGTAATGACCGTGTCACAGCTGAGCAAACTTTACTAATAAATATACAAGAGTTGACTGAGAACTTTAGAAAATGACGGGTCTTTGTACTGTACAATGAAGGAATACCTTCTTCAGTTATAGTATACAATCCAAACGACACACCATATTCATCATCTCTATCTTTATTTAAACAATTCTGACAAACAGTTTGATATCATAGTACAATGGCTTTAACCACTGTATAATAGTAAAACTCATTATCTGACCACATGCCATACAGAATCTGAAATAAATAGGACCTTAGTGCCAAATGTCAATATGTACAACGTCGTAGGCAAAATTACCATCTATACAACCTATATACACTGACTGTAGAACATACTTTTGTAACAGGCTCCTACAGTGCTCAAAGTGACATTGCATATTATTAAATAACAATGAAGCCTTTGAATTATACTCCAAGCTGTCAAGATGGTAACAAAGATATGTGAAGATGAAGGAAATTAGGGGGGAAATGGATTCATTCTTAGTAAAATGAATGCAGAGTCAATATCACACCTGCTAAAAAAAATCAGAGTCACACCAAATTAACATCATACAAAAGCAGATAAATACCAAATGTGCTGCATGGCACTAAGGCCACAACGCGACATCACTTCAGATATATCTGGCAAAACTAATGGACAGTGTCGACAAGGATCCTTGAGTCACTTTTAACCGTTTTGCTTTGAGTAGTTTACTGTATGGTTGGGGGATTCTATAGAGCCAAATTCACATATCAATTTTCAACAGTGGGTCATTTCCAACATATCACAATGAGGTAAATAAGCTTTCAACAAGATACAAAAAAAAATCTATACATGACACATTAAAAAAAGGAAAAAGGCAAAACTGTTCCCTTGAAAAAGTCAGTGGATGTCCACAGAAGAATAAACCTGACTGCAGTAAAAACCCGTGTGGAGCAGTTTGTTTATCTGCAGGTTTAAACCAGAGGAGAGAACCAGCTGATATTTCCAAGAGTTTTTCAGCCAGTAACAAGAGGAACGACTGCACTGCGGCTACATGGCTTTGAACAATCAACATTCACTTCGGTCATTCTTGTAACTATGAGGTTTACCCATACTTCTCCAACCCCATATTACATATGCACACATGCAAAGAAAAAGCAAATAGGAAAATTGGATTTTAAAGCATACTGTGAGATAAATTAGTAAATATGAACACGTCCCTTTTTAAATATAATACATTCTAAATAGAAATGAGTTTAACTGTGCAATTTAAGTGAACATACAAGAAGAAAAAAGAAGTTAAAAAAAAAGGAAGCTGTGGTCTGTTAGGGACCTTTTGTCAGGGATAGTTATCAGATGAACCACAGTTGACATCTGGAGAGCAACGCATTGCAGTGACATTCATACAAGCATAATACAGTACAGCTTTAGGCACATGCAAGTATGTGGTAGGCAGATTTTGCACAAACAACTGTGCACCTACTCACAGATGCACTGAGAGCTGCAAACTGGAGGCAAATTCTTTGTATAGTCAAGCCTCTCTTTCACACGTCGAGTTCGAAAATGCACTCTTCCCAAACAGTCAAACACACTTCACTCTTCCTTTCCAACTCTCATTCTCAGACACACACACAGTCATTTCTGTTCCCACGTTGCGCTGTGTGGACAGGAGTTTCAATCGAGGTTTGTGTGGGGTGGGGACGCCTCACACACTCAAAGGCAGCATGCCTGGTGGAGACACAGCTCTGGATGATGCCATGGAGGTCAGGGAGCTGGGGTCTAATCCGTTAACAGTGCTGCAGGTGCCACATGGACATGTACAATATTAGCAAACATGTACACAAGTACAGAGCAAAAACTAATATGCACAGAGCCACTTAGAATAAGCTGGTGATTTTTCAGCATAGTTGAGTTTAGGTGACCAATTTTATGCATATGTGTGTTTGTTAAACTAAACCATAGAAAAATAAACAGTGAGTGGAGGAACGAAACACATGCTTCAGGACTTACGTTTTGTCAAAGTAAGTGGTATGTAGAGAGTGTGAGAACTTGGTGGCATTGCTGTTGATGAGTGTGCTGTTGTCTGTGGAGTAACTTTTTCTTGCTGCCTGGTCCTTGGCAAAGTTCCTACAAGCAGCCAGTTTTGACTCCAAGGCCTAGTGGGAAAGCACAAAATGCAGCCTGTATTTACACCTTTTATAAGCATTTTCTGAGGACACATTGCTTCTCAATGCTCTGTTACCTATTCCAAAATCTCAAAGTCCCTCTCTGGTTGTTGGTTTAACCCCTAAAAAAACTCATCTGAAAATACCAAACTTGTCAACGCTGCAAGTTGACAGGTCAGTGTGAATTTATGTTTTTAAAAATGGGTAGTGGTTTTATGTTTATCTTCTAGCATATTAAAAAAAAAAGAAAGAAAAAAAAAAACACCACAGGAATATGTTAACAAGGTAAACAAAAGTTGATTTGTACTGGAGGGGGTCTTTTAAGCACTGTTTGCATTTACTTAGTGAGCAAAGAAACAATAACACCTGCATACTGAAAGAGACTAGAAAAAAAAAGTGATTTATTTTAAAGGAAAAAGACCTACCCCAACTTTTCTCAGGAGGTCACCAACTATGTTAAGAGCTGAGATTCTAGCAGAAGGAGTCAGGGAAGAGCTGCCACAGCCGTTGGTCAATGCTAGAGCAGAAAATGCCAAAATTAGTACACACATTACAGAATTTTAAATCGATTTCAAAACAGTACGTAGATGTAAGAGTGGGATTCGTCTTAACCTTTTGAGCTTATAAAGGGGTGCTCTATATTCTTTCCTACAGGTGTTGCTGGAAGGGATAAAGACGCCTGTACTGCAGAATCTATTTTGTCGATGTCTAATGTGGGTGAGCTGGGTGCTGACATCCTGTCTGTAGTCCGCTCCCGTACTGCCAGCTCCTGTCTCAGATCTGCGGAAGACAAAGTGAAACTCATGAAGCATTCCCCCACTTGCCCTTTCACAGATGGCTGCATGCCTGAGAAAGGGCAGAATACATTCTTCTTTGCTTTGTCCTTACCTCGTGCTTCATCTTTCAGCCGCTGTACAGACACGAGGAGAGACTCCTTCTCATCCAGCTCACTCTCCAGAAAGGCATTTCTCTCAATGGCTTGGTTTAAACGGCCTTCGAAGTCTTCAAGAGACACTATTGTTGCCCTTTACGTACAAAGTAATAGACACGACTGTTTTGTGAGTGTTGCAGTGTTGGCACAATCGCTAGAAAATCTGTGTTCATCATTTACTCATTATTTTGCACAATACATGTCATTCTGACCTCTTGGCTCTCTCCAGGTCGTCATTGGCCTGTTCAAGCTCTCTGACATATTTGTGTAGCTGCTCCTTGATGCTGCGTGTCTGGCCCAAGTCATCCTCTAGCACTGAAATCTGCTTATAACTCTGGGCATACTGCTGCTCCAGCTTTTCCTGATAGAGATGGAAAGAGTGAAGAAGAGAGAAGAGCTTGCAAGTGAGTCTATGTGTTCAAATGAGGGGCAACAAAGACGCAGTTACATATACAGTTACATTATTTCACTTTCAAAGGGCCTCTTTGTTCCCTGGGGAGGCCCAATGGTTCATTTGCCCTGAGTTACTTTACACTACAATTACAGGCAGTGCTGCATGCCTCTATTGTGGCCTCTGAGGGACAAAGACAGGAAAGCATCATTCATGGCCTCTCACTGGTTGATTTGTACACTCCATTTTTAGTAATAGGTGCAGCAAAAAGACTCAAGTGAAAAATCACAATACTTAGATGGTAAACTGCTCAGTGTATAGTCCAGCAACTAGTACAGTCAACATTGTACATGATCACCAAAGGGTCACAGTGAGCACACAATGCCCTGCTGTGATTAAGAACCAGACTTGTCCTTGCAGTTTTCTATTTTCTTCCTCTTTATCCTGACATCCAATTAAGGAGTGCTGTAGGATTACCTAAGACCATGCCTTATTAACACCTCCCACACAAATAAGACACTGGACCTTGTGTTCAGGATCCCAACAGAGCTCAGATAACCTCTTAAGTAACCACAATTAACTTTAGTGGTGTCGCAACCCATAGACGATACAACAAAATTCATTCTAAAATAAGCTACATGGCAAGTCAGCAGGTCCAGTTACCTTAAGGTTAGAGAGCTCGTTCTTCAGCCTCTCGTTCTCAGTTTGGAGGTCTCGAAGCCGGTGTTCGGCCTGGCCAAGCTGTGCCTCCAGCTCAGCCTCCAGTTCTCGGCTGCCCTCTTGGAACTCCTGCAGCTCCTCCTGGGCTTCATGGCAACTGGAAGGTACACAAACAGAGTGATGAAAAACATAAACAGTCATTGTCACACACCAGCTACCCTGTCCACCATCAACCATTGTGTTCTGTACAGCTGACCAGCTCAATGACAGTGGATATGAGCTCTAGAAGAGTGACAGCTTTTGTTTGGTAAGATAAACCAAGCTCAAGCACGTTCTGGTAGCTGCTTTTTTTTTTTCCCCAATGGCCGGAAATAAACCTGCATGAAAGGACAGTCAGATATTTGTAGATTTTTAACCTTCATTCCTGCCTCTGTCAAACAGGAAATACTGAGCTCAGCATTGTCGAGTTAGGCATTCTAAATATACAGCTCTGAAGAGACAGCTGAACTTTGACAGAAGGTGGTTCGAAAGTAGCTCAGAAAAACAGGCAAGTTGTCATGTGTCTTCAGCTGTGGAAGAGGTTAAAGGTCAGGAGTGCAGAGAAAATGAGAGGGCAAAGAAACAGGATAACAGGACGTGTGTACACACTGTCCTGACCCCGTGTAGAGATTGCAAAAACACACAAAATAACTCTGGTGTGTGCATATTTATTTTAGCTTACATTTCAAGGTGGAAGAGGAGGGGGAAAAAACATTCACTTATCTCAGAGTTTATAGAATCTAAATACATCCTATTTTTTTTCTCCTGTCAAGATGTCACTGTGACTAACACTGGTCTGAGATCGGCTTACTTGTACTGGGATACTGGCCTCTCAGTGGCTCTACAGAGTACTGGAATTCATGAATCAGTTGTTGTGCGGGGTCGTTCCACACATACCAGCGTCACAGAGGCTGCCTGATCAGCACGCTGGCCTCTACAACTTCCCTTTTTAACAGTCGGGCCTGTCCATCCTAACACTTTGTAAGGTTTAAAATAACCAATAGTATTCTATATGTGTGACTGAAACAGTGTTAAGTATATGTTTGAATGCTGGAAAGTCCATTTCTGATAATGAATTGATGACATAAAAGTAGCCTATTTACAACAAAATGTGTAAGAAGGTAAGTTTAAAAATATCACTTTGGGTAGGGAACTTTAGTACGTTCATTAAGAAACACTGCATGCTACAACTATTAAGAAGACGTATGCTCCAAAACATGTGAAAAGCCATGGTGAACTTGCTGCTTGAAGTTATTTTTTCCATGGGTTGATGTTTTTTTCCCCCCATGTACCCACAGAAGGAATTTCTCAGCAAACCACCCGGACTTTAACTCCTTCTGTGCAGTTTTACACTTCCTCTGGATGTATGCTGGGCCCCAACTCCACAAATAGAAAAGGCAGACAAAACAAATTTGATTTATACAACACTCACAAATGCTACTGCTGCCTATCCCAACATAGGCTGCGGTCTCTGTTTAAGAAGCCAAAGATGTAGTCATTTCCTCATGAGTAAGCCAGCCTGTTTGTGGGTGCTGATTCCATAAAGCTGCTCAGGTCATTTGCCTTATATGGCTAAACACAGTCTTTTCTGTGCTGAAGCTTTTAACAGAGACAACATTTCAAAAACATTTGGTCGACAATAATGGGGAAATAATTGTGTAGTGATCTTTCCTAACCACAGACAAAACCACAGTCAGCAAATAATGATCTGGAATTACGTAAGCATCAACTTATAAAAAAAAAAAAAAGTGGTCTTCTTGATTTTGAATAGGCTAACTGCTGCTGTCTGATGTTTGGCTCAATTTTCTTGCAAGACAGACCAGGAAAAATACTAGGACACGTTGTTACATAATCCAATTTGCAAAAATAAGCATAGTAAGCAAACAGTAACACTCTCCATACACAAAACAATGAGAACACAGCAGAACATCTGCCAGACACTCATATGTACAATAAACCATGATTGATCGTAACAAGATGTTAAAACATGGATAAAGAGGATATTCTATACGTGTCAGACCACAGCAAATAATTTTAGGCATGCAATGTTGTCATATAGGAATGAATGTTGCCTACCTCTTCTTATATTTGAGGGCTTGGGACTTCCAGTAGTCAACCTCCTCATCCTTTGACGAAAATTTGGGAATCATCTCTGTGTCCATGTCAGGGCACCCTGAGGGTTTAAGAGACGCTATGATTAGCTTAAGAGATATCTATAATAGCTTAGAATATAAATAACTTAAAAAGTCTTAAACATGGCATGACACTTCCATTGTGTCATCCTTTGGCATGCAGAATCAGGCACAGCACATTCCTTTCTTATCTCTGAGCTGAGCAATCAATGAAATCAAGATTACAGATATCCCTCATTCCTCACTGGAGAAGCAAAGACACAAAGTCAGACTGGCCTAGCCATATCATCATGTCATTCAGACGTCAGTTCATCCTAAATATCTCATAAATCACTGTCCAAGCACATCTTCTGATCTATATAAAAAGCTTGAACCAAATGTGAGCAATTTTGGAATTGCTATTTTTTTTTATTTACCAACGTAATTTTAACAATTCTGAGCGGCCAGCATTGTCAGCCTTTCTTTGACAGTGAACAGCCTCAATGACATGCTGTACAAAAGGCAGCCTCAATAAATCATTCCGTTTTAACCTTCTTACAGCTCAACTCATGTGATGTCAACATACTTATCACCATTAATCAACGCTAATTAAGTGTAGCTAATGCCAAATAGATGAAAGCTGTCTAATGTAGATCCCTTCTGAAATTTAATCAAGTGTTACAAGTTTTTTTGTCTTCCGTCCTGTTTGCAAAATTAGCACTTTGATAGACAGTTTTTTTTTCTTGTAAGCTATTAAACTCTATAAATATATGATCTAGGTAGACTGCTCAGGAAATTATTAAACACATCTGGAAAGGGCCGCTGTGTGCGTTTTGGGGGGGGGATACAGCTGCTGCTGCTGCTGCCAGCAGTACCACTGCAGTAGCTACAGGAGTATTTATAATCCGACTTGAGCTTATAAGGATTTCCTACTGATAGGTCCGGCAGGCAGTGGACAAAACACAGGAAACCCCTCAGCTGAGCTGAAAGTCAAAGAAAGTATGTGCAACAATTTAAGGTAGTTACTTATAAGGAATGCAGAATTTGATTTGATTGTTTAAACTGTCTGTGCAAAAAGTGGTGGCATAAATAGTAACAGCTAGTGTTATGTTACTGTAACAATTTATATTTTGACCTGACTAGCCTGGAGGATGTGTTATGTTTCTTGCTAAGAAGAGGATGGTCTGGACTCAGAGGGATGGCGACTCTGAGGCAAGACCGCCTGCTCTTTCCTTTAAACATTCCTCTGAGATGGCGTCATCGACTGTTTCAGACCACAGGACAACTCACGTGTCAGAACGCTACTCCTGAGGTCGCAAAGGAAACTGGAGACCAAAACACCGTGAAGGGTGGAGAGAGAGAGACTTTCCCAAGCCGTTAATGACATAACATGTTTGTTGTATCGTATGACCAATGGGAACCTTCCCAGCCCTGCAGGAAAGTACCAAAGAATGTTTCTTTGATCATAAACAGAAACCAAACCCAGCAGATCTCTATTTGCTATGATGCTAAGAGGCCTGAATGGGATACACTGCTTTCTATCGATCCCTGCAGGTCTCCAAAGACATGAGTGACAGGAAACTGTGTCCATGGTGATGGAGATCAAAGCACTATACAGGACAAACACTCCCTCAAAGAGGACATGACTATTTATTAGCCTACTGACCAATGACAAAATCAAAAGTGGCATTGGAGATGTACCCTTACCGAAGCTACAGTATTGGACATTTTTAGGACAGATGAGGACAAGGTAACATAACACATCACTTAGAAGGACAAGAAAAGTGCTGAAACTCTGCCAGAATTCATGACAGTTCCTGTTGTGCTTCATCTCAGTATCTTTGGTGTGATGTCAGCTTGACCCCTGGATCTATTTGTATGCTGTAACAATACCAGGACAGGCAGGGCCTGGAAATTACAGACAGGGGAAGGAAGGTAAGTGAAGAGAGAGTTCCCCTTTCCCGCATTCTCGTCTCTACATCCTCTTTTGATGCAGATGACTAAGTGCTTACTAAGAATTTAACTGCTGATGGAGTCACAATTTTAGACTGGGGGCCTAAGAGAGGGGTGAGATGGAGTCATTGGAGTCTTGTTGGTTGCTCTAATGTGAATAATAATCAGACCCACAGCTTTGCAGGGTGTGGTGGCAGTCCCTCCCTGACCTGGGTCTGTGTTTTACTCCCTTGTGCTATAGATTTGCCAACAGAAAGACATGCAACCCTGCTCAGAGAAAGCTAGAGGTTAGCTTAAATCAAGTATAGTGATCCAAGTGAGCCTTTTACTGTAAAACTGACACCTTAAACTGATCATACAGCTAATACACCCAGTATTTAGCCTAACAGGTTGTTATTTACCTGGGTAGCGAACCCAATAGCTGCTGTCAATGTGTCGATATCTGATAGTCTGCGGTTTGACAGAAACGAAGCTTATGCTAAATTGTACTAAAACCGCCTACAAAAAGGGAACATGGAGGACGTAAGAAGCAAAAATTACAGCCGACACCTCTCGACGTTTCATCCGAAAATAAGCTGTCGCCTTCGTACCGTTACACACCGGAGAGCGACGGCTGAACACGGCTGCTCGTTAGAGGAACCGGTCAAACATTAAACACAGACACAGCTCAACATTTCAAGCGTTCTTTCGGTACCTGCTCATGTCAAATCGGTGTTCCTTTTCAGCAAGTCGCCGTCCAGCCGGTGTACCACCCAGCGACACACACCTTCTCCCCGCCGGGCCTTGTTTAACACTGAGCTCAGCGGTGTTTAGGAAATTGCCAACGCGTCTCCCGGAACCAACGTAAATCTCGACATGGACGTACGTGCTGACGCAATCCCACGTGTGCGTCAGAGCTGGGCGGAGCCACAACAAACGTCACCTACTAGAATCAACCACACCTTTTTCTTTCCATTTTTTTCTTCTTTTCTGTTTTTTTAAACTGTAGATTTGTACCAACTGTACAGTTTTCATTCACCACAAGGTGGCATATGATTGCCAGAAAATAAACAGCTACACAGCAGTAAAAAATACTTGGTCCTGTTTAAAATGATGTATTTTTTTGTCTCACAAGCAACTGAATTTTCTTTTTTTTTTCTCATAGATGTTAGATACACAAAACTTTATTTATCCTTTGCAGGACATTACTTTGTCACAGCAGCTAGAGCAACAGTAAAGAACCCATATCTAACAATGAGCAGAAAATGTTTCTTGCACAAAAGCTACTTACTGAAGTGTGAAAACGTACTGAAGACTTAGAGTGAAATCTACTATGTATACAAATAGAAAAAAAATCCAATGTGCAAAACTGTAGAAGACCTATAATGTAAAAACAAACAAACAAACAAACAAACAAACAAACAAAAAAAAAAAACCACAAGGATGTACATATGTCCAGTGTGCAAAAAACAACTGTATATTTAAAATCGCAATACACAAAATAATAATAATAAAAAAAAGTTAAATACATATGGAACAGTCTCAGAAGTCTACTTAGCATAGAATAAACATTTGTATACATGCGTGTCACAAGTGTTTCCTGCACAAAGAGTCCAGCAGGAGTTGTTATTTCTTCCCATTGTGAAGTCTGATGGCAGCTAACAGAAGGAATCTCCTGCAGTGTTCATTCCTGCACCTCTGACTGAAGGTGCTCTGCTTGAATCACCTCAGGGTGTGGAGTGGGTGTGAGGGGTTCTTCAGCACTGACTTCAGTTTTGAAAACATCTTCATCTTTTGTCACTTTGCTGAATAGTGTTTGTTTAAGTCCTGATGATGGAGCTGACCTTTCTGAACAATTTAATTCTGTTCTTGTCTTTTAAAAATATCACTGGAATCAATGCACTGACGATATAATAGAAGTTAGATTTTATAGTTTGATGAATGTAAATAAATGCATTTTACAAATTTCTATCTAATTAGGCTTAAAATGTCATTTTTTAAGACCACTATAAAGCTTAAAAACACAAGCTCTTATAATTGGAGGCGTTTTGACTTCATTTGACGAGCTTATTAGAACATTTCCCAGAATACACTGTTGGAAAACAACGGCCCCACAATGTTATTTTTTATTTTTATTTATATTTTTTGTAGTTTTAGAAAATAGACATGGACATTCGCAACTGCTTTTTCTTTAATACATATTAAATTTTATTGTGGCTGTGTCTTCAGAAATTATTTCAGTAACTGAGACTGTGCATTCTGAAAGTGGTAAACACTGTGTAACCCAAAAATCTAGTTTTACACTTTTACAACTCAAAAGGTCAATTTGAATTTATTAATCAACCAAACTGCAGCTGACACAATTTTCAAATAGTTGGGGAAGTTCAGTTTAAGATGAATGAACATAAAGTCATTTACATTGTATTCAGATGTGTCAGTAGTTAAATAATGTCAGTCAGTGTGTCATAGAACATGAAATGTGAACCAACGCAGGGACTTGAATTGCAGCAGGAAACCAATCCGTCAAGTCGCTGCAGCCTCAGGTGGCAGGCCCTGTTTTACAAGGCGTCGCTCTCGCCTCCACCCACTGGCAAAAGCAAAGAAAGTCATGTATTGAGGGGGAAAAAAGAAGTCGGAGAGGGCTTCACTCCACAATTACCGGGAATTCACTTTTTTCAAACTTTCAATTTTGCAAAATTCTGCATGGCACTTTACAAAGAAGACAGTCAGGAGGACTCACTGGAATGCCCAGTGTGCTATGAGAGTCTCTCGGGTACTGAGCGGACGTTGAGCTGCGGACATGTATTCTGCCACGACTGCCTGGTCAAAACGCTGGTGAGCATCAACAGCGATGGAAACATCAGAGACACGATTGTTTGCCCCGTCTGCCGACATCTTACATTCATCAAGAGACAAAAGGAAGCGCTGGTGTCGCTCGCAGCAGACAAGGATCCAGATGAAGGGCAAACCCTCGAGGTGCCTCTTCCTCTGCCACTGGGACCGCTCCAGAGCGCACGGCGCGCCTCCACGGAGAGCGCACTGAGTGGAGTTAATTGGGTTGCTCACTGCTGCAGGGGCATCTCTCAGCGAGTCCGCCGACAGAGGTTAATCAGCCCCAGCCATAATGCATCTCAGATCTTCATCATAAGCGCTCAAGGGCGACCTATGGCTGAAGAAGATGCGCTCAGTGTTGTGATGACTGTGGTTCAGCCCCAGCGCAGGCGAAGACGCAGGATTTGTACGACAGCGCGGTGCTTGCTCGTCCTACTCTCGGCATTTACTGTACTGGCACTAGTGGCGGCAACTTTACCGTGGATTTTGTTGGCATAGCACCTTGATAAAAGAAAAAGTTTGACTTTAAGTGCCAATAAGGGGATGATCAACTGACATTTAAAGGCAGAAAGATGTCCGCCTAATGTAATCCACCAGTCAAGGAAAACGTGTGAAGTAGTTTTTTTTAGTCTGGCTGAAAAATATCAAGGAGTGTGCAATCATTCCACTGAAAATGTACAATTCAGTAAATATATGAAGATGCAAGCTCATTTAGTTTTTAAGATGTGATCAGGTACTGTCATTTCTTTCCCTGATTTTGTGGAAAAGTGAAGGAGTTTATAAGCATGCCCATGTCTTTTTATAAGTATTACCCAGCAACAGTGTAAAGCAAAGGTTAGGAAAGCCTTGACAGCACTCTTTTGTTTAGCATTCCTGTCTTAGACATGTTCAACCTGTTTTATGAGAAGCACATATGTGGAAACAAATGTACCAAAAGTTGGTGAATACAATGAAGGTGGGCATTATAAAAGTCAGAATTTAACAATTAAAACTGTTAGTCAGGACAAATTCAATAAAAACTATTTAACCCAACTTAGCTGCTGTTAAAGCAGCTCAATTCATTGTTGTGTTACCCTGTTGTTGAATGCCTTGTTTCCAAGCAGCAGACACCCTCTATCCCACTTTCAGGTTTGTTCAGTGTGTCTGCTTGTCCTTAAGAGAAAGCGTGAAGGGGTCACATTTGGCTTGAGCCTGGCTTAATAATAAAACAGTCAGAGTGTGTTGACAGACCTCATTTTATCCCACACTGTGTTTAGTCTGACATTTAAACAGTGCTCACACATTTTTAAACTTTAATCCTATGCTGATCAAGTGGAAACCTGTTCACTATAGATACCTGGAGAGAATTAGTGGTTGTATCAAATCCCCTTTCCTAAACAGCACGTGATTGGCTCCTCTTGTGGTGGGTATAAAGACAGTGTAAAGAGAGCCGCCTTGAAAACTTTCAGTAAGAAATAATTAATGCACCCATGGCAGTCTGGAAGGAGATAGAGCGGACGGCGATGAGATGTGCCCGGCTGATTGCTGTAAGGAGAGACACTGCAGGATCGAAGCATTAGATTACCGCTAACTCCTTCAGAATACAGTTTGAGACGGGACAGAGAGAAATGAGAAAACAGAAGTTCTACAAGCATTCTAAATGATCTACTATGGCAAGTGATTTCTGACAGAGGTGTAATGTTAGTCATTCTTTGTGTTAAAACACTGTTTTACATACTTAACACAGGTGCAGTGCATTACACATCTTGGGGTGGAGATTTATGACAAATTAAGGATTTGTTCTTAACTTGAGCTTCTTTAGTATCGCCACGATCTTGTCATGCACGTACACTCCTAGTTTCCTCCTGTGGCAATCCTTCAGTCGTCCTGCTGGGCTGGTCCTACAGGTTACTCTGCTGACACCTGCTTTCTCAACATGTTTAAGTGCAGTTACAATTGATTTATACGTATTACACATGGTCACAATGCGACAATAACCGTATAGTTGTAAATGTAGAAAAGTAACCAGTTTAAAGGCAACAAGATAATACTATCAAATAATGAAAGTATTAAGAGTAAAATAAAATGCTCAGTGAATCAGGTGTTCAACCTTTACCCTGTATGCTCCTGCTAATCTAAACACTAGATTAGCTAAACTATGATAAGATTGCAGGCAGCGATGGAAAATGTACTCAGATTATCAAACTAAGTTATCACTCATAAATCTGTTTTAGACTGTTTCAAAAAGAGGAGATTTAGTGTTGATAGAACTGCTAATAATTCATATGAAATAAGACAAGTGACCCCAACAAGGCCAGAAGTAGGTGTCAGTATCAATTCAGTGGAGTAAAACAACAATGTTTCCCTCTAAAATGTCATATAAAGTTACAGAACATGGAAATACTCAAAGCACGAGAGCTTTAAAAATGCATTTAAGTACTTGAATGTGTGAAAAAAAAAAGAAATCTGTCTGATTAACTTTTTATTTTTCTAAAAAAGCTGAAATAAAACCCACAGTAACCAAGTGAGATTATTAAAAATGTAGAGTTTAATATATATATATATATTTATTTCTGACATTCTGATAAGGATTGCAGGTAGGCTTCACAGTACACACTGTGTTCCACTTGATATGCTAAGCAGAGGAGGAAGGGGTGGGCATGGTGGGCTTGACAAGCGGCAGGTTTTGTTTGTACATTAGTTGTGATAGCAGAAGGAGGCAGTACATCCACAGGCAACTTCCGCTCCTCCACCGTATTGCTCAAAAACCCACAAAGGACCATTTGTCGTGATCCACATTCTCTAGCATCCATCTATACATTTTGTTCATCACCCCTCTTACAATCCCTAAAAAGACAGTGGTTGACACAAAACATGGATTATCAAAAGACTATCTAAGCGCATGCATGACACTTTTTCAGATTTTTTCTCATTTAAACCCCCCTCCCCATACACAAAATGTAAACAAACTGGGCTTTACTTTTAGGCCAACATACATGGTGATGAGGTGAGTTGGGAAATATAGGCCGACTGTAGTTTGAATGCTTGATAAAACTATGCAACAGTGTACCATTTGGTGCAAAAGGTTGCTCCTATGAATATGTGCTTCAAAACTGCTAGAAAATTAATTTACTGGCTGAAATTAGACATGTGATGAAATTATGACTCGTGTTTTTGGGGAGGGTACAGATGTTTTGTTTTTTCTTGTTTTAGCAGCATAATAATCATACACCTATAATGAATATGAATGCATGCTTTTAGGTGGCTGTAAGTTCCAGTTATGATGCACAAAAGCATTACAGTAATACTGCCCAAATACTGGTAATAATACATGCCAACAGGCCTTAATTAACCTTCATTCAAATACTAACTTTCCTTTGCCCTGTTAGTTCATCTAAAATCAGGTAGCCTACCATTTGTAATCTGAGTCAGTCACATTCAGAGATACCCCTGCCTCCTCGGATAGATTTATGGATCCAGCACAGAAAATAAATCCTCTATTACACTTAATTATGCCTATAGTTCCAAAATAACGACCAGTGTGAGGGCACTTGCAATTGTTGTCATAAAATTACCACAACTACCAATATAATTAACATCACCAAAATTCTTCATAAACATAGTCCATTGAGAACACACACTGAGGCATACCATAGATCACTTCTGGAGAGAGAATAATCTTGAATTTGTTTTGTCAGAGGTTAATTCACACATAAAACAAACTTGAAAAATTGCTTTGCAATGAAATTAATGGCTTTTTTTCTGTAGGTTTGGGAGGGGTGACTTTGACCACTTTTTGGACTGAGGTCGATCAGTAAACACTATAATTGCACTTTAATTGACAAAATTATTGTCCTAAGACAAATTACAGGAAATTAAAAAAGTGACACTGCAGCATCTGTTATCTGGGGAATTTTAATTATCTCTAATTAATTGTCTGGGGTGATACTACCAACAAAGGACGGCAACTTTTTCAAATTTGATGTGTGCCAAATTCGACTATGCTTTCTAAATAACCATATAATCAGTCCAATATTATAGGCTTAGGTCTACATTTGTCTTCATTATGAATTAATACATGGTACAAGTGAGTTCAAAGGAATCTAACTATTTACACAGAATCGCTTAAGTAACGGATTTCAAAGAAAAGAAAGGATAGGGCATTGGTGTGTAACTCATTAGTGCTCTAGCATGTCTGAAGTCAAAGCTCAGGAGGCGGAATTAGAAAGACCACATTTGATTTCTAGCAGAAACAACTTTCTGCATTTCTGCTGCAGCATCATAGTTACCTGGTGTTAAAGTGAAAAATTATGAATCTACAGTAAACCTGTTCGTCGTGTGCAGGGACAAAAATAACATCAAATTTTTTAATCATTACATTTTCTACACGATAAATATCAGCACATATATTATTATTATTATTATATATTCAAGATATGCATTTTACATATACTTTTCCTCTCAGCTTTATATACATCAGTTTATGTACAGTCTTTGTATTTACACTTGGGGTCAAAGGTCACTAAACCTGAAGCACTTGAAACAAAGTTAAGAGAGAGACTCATACGAACCTAAAGGCAGTGTCATCATCCATCCATTATCATTAAACTGCACAGCACAGGGGTGGTTTCTAAATTTACTGTCCAAAGTGAAAAACAACAGCAACACTCACACAAAGTAAAGCACTGCCATTCTCAGGCCCTTGATCCATAGCAGATCGATCATATTGGCTTGTCATGCAAACACGTCATGGTGCTTTCTTCCTAACTGAATAACAGATGCAAGTATAAAAACTTGAATTACAATAACATTCTTCTCATACTGTGCTGGTATAAAGTGAGTTAAAGTGAGTTTACCTATACAAAGGTAACTGTCTGACAAAAAACTACAGTTGTAATTTGTGATAGAAGAGGGGAAGGAATGATAGGAGGGGGAAGGGGGGGGGCTGTAACACTAACAATAATAAAACTGCATTAAATGTTTCATCCTGCATGCAAAGCCTGTCTCTTGGGCTCAGCATGTTCCTAATGTGCACAAAGCTTGAATACCCTGTGAGCAATGTAACCAGACTACGCTCTCACTCTGTCTCTGTTTCACCCTGAGGATTGGGCTTTGCTCCTAACCATGTCAGGCTCTGAGTTTCCCTAACCAAAAGTTGTACAACTTGTGAATATCATATTGCAATTTGATTGCATGTTCTAATAAGGCAAAGAAAGAAACTGAAAAACACGCAGAAATACAAACCACTGGATTAAACAACAAAGATGAACAAAGCAAAGCAAGAAAAAACAAAACAAAACAAAAAATCTTTTAAAGTAATACTCATCTATATTCCAGTCTTTCCTCCTAAAGGCAACTGTTCCTCCACTATGGCATTTTGGTGTTTTTTTTTTGTTCTTGTTGTTGTTGTTGTCGTCACATTAATGTACTAGCGAGCAATTGTAAAAGTTTCTTTGCAGCCTGTAGCAGATGTGAGGGAGGGTTCATGTTCTGGTTTCAGGTGGGCATTGGTGAGGCCAGTTGGTGTTTCCATCAGGCCTTGGCGGCGACAGTTAAGAGTATGTACAGCCATAGGGGTGCTGGTAAATGATGCCTTAGGGTCATAGGTCATAGAGTGGTGCTCTGGGGCTCCTCCTCAGGCACAGCGTCCCCCTCTGGAGAGTCTGTCACTGCCAGGGACCTCCTGCAGGGGGCACCGCTGAACTCATCGATGAGGCTGTCCAGATTGACATTGATGGAGGGGATTTCATAATTGAAGATATCTAATGGTGAGCGTGATGGGAAAGGTGAGTAAGATGAGCAGAATAGTGGAAATGGCGATGGTGAGCAATAGGAGGAGGAGAAGAGGGCATATGATGATGATAATGAGGTGTAAAAAATGGAAGAGAGCAGAAATAATATTAATCGTTTTGAGTCTGAACTCATGGTAAGTGGCAAATGATGTCTGACCTGACTGAAGGAATCAGTAGATTACATGTACTTCACATTCTACACAGGGATGTTTTCAGTGTGGTGCTAGTCACACCAGCAAACATGCTAGCGACTAGTGTAGT